ACAGCCTGCACACTTGTCCTCGGAGTTATCTTTTCATAGGCAAGGCAGTCTAGCAGGAGAGGGAAGGTGGCACAAGCGAAGACCAGAGTGATTGGCTTCTGTTCTAATCCCAGTGTCATGACATGCAAGATGGATTTGGGGCACATCTTCTAATCCTTCAGACTTAGTGTCTTCATTTGCAAAAACAGCTACAGTTCCTACTTTCCCTTGCAGCTAGTGGATGGTGTGGGTCTACTCTAAAAGGCCCAGGCTGCTGTGGAGGCTTATGAAACTTTCTGATCTTTTGATTAGCTTGTATTTGGGCATCAGAATTTTTTACTTTTTAAAAAACACGTGTATGTGTGTGTACATGTATATGTGTGTGCCTGTGGATGTGGAGGCTCAAGAAGAACCTCGGGAGTCACCTTCAGGAATATTGTTAACTTCTTTTGAGACAGGGTCTCTCCTTATCCTGGTACTCACCAATTAGGCTTGACCCACTGGCCAGCAAGCTCCAGGATTTCGGCCTGTCTGCCCCCCCAACCCAGGGCCGGGGTTTCAAGCGTCACCATGAAGAGCACTTTTTGCATGAGGTAGTAATGGTGCTTAGAGGCGAGCCAGTTCACTGACTGAGTGACTTCCTAAGCACCACATTTTGATTTCTCTGTACCTTTTTAAAATTAAAAAAAAACAAAAAACGAGGTATTGTCTAGGCTTTTAAAAGAATTGTTGACAAAAGACAATACCCCTTTTAGAAAGCTTTTCATCCATCTTGTATTAACTTTTGTTGTTAACCTCTTTGAAGACTACTTTTTTAAAGCCTTACTGTATAATTAAAAAAAAAAAAAGAAACGATAACAAAGTGATAACTTTTTCGGAATTAATTCATGAAATGTATTTGGGTTAACAATTAAGCATTGGAGTTTTTCCTTCCAAAGTTTAGACTTAAGCCCAGCTCCTCATTTTATATTGAGGGTACTGAGACCAAGGCATCCAGAGCACCCCGAGGCCTGGGTCTCCTCCACAGTGCCTGTTACTATAGTGTGATTAAGTGCTTGTGTTTACAGAGTGCTCAGCTGTTCCAAGCTGGAGTCAGTGCTCTCATCAGGCTTCAGGGTCGTGGGGCAAACGATCTGACTTATTAGGGAAAGTGAGAACTGAGTGTGGGAGGGGCTCTGTGGGAGGAATACCAGAATAGCATTCTTTCAGAGAACTGAAAAATCAAGTTTATTACTAGACAGTGCTGGGCAAGGGATCATGAAACCCGAGTTCTGGTCTCAGTTCTGTTTACTAACCCTGTTTCTAAGACGAGAAGGATGATAAGATGGCATCCAGGGCCCATGGCAGGACTTTCAGTGGAGAATCTCTGAAACCCAAATGCAGGGCATGGACTATTTCTGTCTGTGTGTGTGTCTGTCTGTCTGTTAACTTTGGAGCCTGTCCTGGAACTCGCTTTGTAGACCAGGCTGGCCTCGAACTCAGAGATCCTCCTGCCTCTGCCTCCCGGGTGCTGGAATTAAAGGCCCTACCACTGCCCAGCTGTTTTCTTGTTTTCTGAGGGTTTCTTTATTTTTTTAAATTTAATCTTATTTTTAAAAATTATTTTAAAAAACTTGATTAGGTTTATTCATTGTATTTTGTGTGTGAGCATTGTGCCTCCATGCATGTCTGTGTACCATGTGTGTGCCTGGTGTCACAGGAGGCCACAGGAGACACCGGATTCCTTGGAACTGGAGTTGTGGATGATTGTGAACTAACCTGGGTCTGCATGCAAGAGCGATGAGTGCGCTCAACTCCCGAGCCATTGTCTCCAGGTCCAGAGACTTGCTTTATTCAACTGTTTTTAACATCCTATTCCTTCATACGGTGGTATGTTTTCTGTTTGTCTCTTGCTACTCAAAAGTCATCTTTATTTATCTCTTTTTTATGAAGGGGTGGGTCTCAAGTCTCAAATATCCTAGGTTGGCCTTGAACTCAGTATTTGGTTTTGGATGACTTTGAATTGATTAACCTGCCTCCACATCTAAGTGCTGGGATTATAAACATGGGCCACTATGTGTGGTGTATGCCATGCTGGGCATCAAACCAAGGACCTTGAGCATGTTAGCAAAGAATATTACCAACTGAGCTGTGTCCCCAGACCCCTGCCCATTTATCCTTTTAAAGTGTGTGTGTGTGTGTGTGTGTGTGTGTGTGAGAGAGAGAGAGAGAGAGAGAGAGAGAGAGTGAGTGTGTGCGTGTGGGTGATGGGGCACGCACATGTAGTAGTCCAAAGTTGATGTTAGGTATTTTCTTAATTGCTCTGCGCTTTGAACCCCCAAACCAGTTCCAGCTAGTCTATGCAGCCTGCTTGTCCCCTGGGTCCTCTGTCCCTCCCTACCTCCTGAATGTTGGTATTACAGGCAGCTGCCATCCCTGCTCTCCATAGGTCAGGGTTCAAGCTCATGTGCCTACACCCTGCTTTATGTGGGTGCTAGGATCTGAACTCAGGTCCTCATGTCTGCTCAGCAAGCTCTTGGAGCCATCCCCCAGGCCATCATTAGGTAAAGTTTTTCTTCTTCCTTCCTTCCTTCCTTCTTTTAACTTAAGCAAAGGGAGCGGTACAGAGTGGGCACAGTTTAGTGGTAGAGTGTTTGCCTAGCATGTATAAAATCCTGGGTCAATTCAAGAACAGGAAACAATAAACTTGATAACAAAAACACAACTTTTTAAAAAATTTTTTTAAAGGAGCTGCTGGGAATCCTTGTCTTCTGTCCTTGGCCTCATCAACCAAACCCATTCACTCCCAGTTATTAGTTTCCTATGTATTCCTTCAGAATTCCTATTTTTCCTCTCTTTTTGTGTTATCAGCACATATAAGCTTCATCGTGATTTTAACATTTTACAGATATACCATAATTTAACCAGTGGTTGGGGATTTTGACTTGGTAAAATCCCAAGTGGTATTTGTGTTTGGATGGTCTGTGAGCCTGATATGAGAACTTTTCTCTGCCATTTTTAAGCACTTGGCAGTCTTGAAATGGATCCTTACAAAACTTCTTTGGGGTAATAAGGGTATCCTTGGTAGGTAGAAGAAACAGTATGTTTAGGATTTCTGACTGTTGTGCAAGGCTGCATGAGTCGCCACTGTGCTCCTCTCAGAGGCTCTGCTGGCAAGCCAGGATCTGTCTGAGGAACACAGCCTGCTTTGTAGGGCTGGTAAACGTCTGCACTGCTGGGCTATGACCATTAGTAAATTGACTTCCTTAAAACCGGTAGAGCATGTGCAAAAGGTTCTCCACACAGATGAAGCTGTGAGAAACAAAACCAGTGTAGAAAGAGGGCATGCAAATGTTCTTTTTATAGATAAAACTTTTAATCTAAAAAATCTTAACTGAAATTAGGTGTATGCAGACAGTGACTTCCTTAATGAAATTGAAGATGTTTGTGTAGATGAATGTGGCTCTTTTTTTCTTTTCTTTTCTTTTTCTTTTTCTTTCTGATACCGGGTTTCTCTGTGTAGTCCTGGGTGTCCTGGAACTCACTCTGTCACTCTGTATACCAGGCTGGTCTCCAACTCAGAGATAGATCCTCTTGCCTCTTGAGTGCTGGAATTGAAAGCCTGCACCACTACTGCCCAGTGAATGTGGCAAAGAGTAGTTACATGTTCAATACTGAACAAATAGGAAGTATATTAGCCTGGGATTTGACACCTAGTAAAGTTTTACAGGGGTTAGAGAGAGTACAGCTTTGCCTTCATAATGTGATCTGTTTGGAGTGTACAAATGAAATGGAAAGTTCTGGAGCTTTAATTTAAAAATTGAGACAACTGAGTTTGCTGATTCTCTTGTGGGTGCTGAAGTGTGCACTCAGGTTACTGCACCACAGTGGTAGTCCTTTGTGTATGTTCTGGGGTAACAGCCCTCCCCTGCCTCCCTCTCCCCTCCCCTGTCCTCCCCTGCTCTCCCCCTCCCCTCCCCCTCCTCTGCCCTCCCCTCCCCTGCCTTGCCCTCCCCCTCCCCTCCCTTTCCTCCCTTCCCCTTCCTCTGCCCTCCCCTCCCCTGCCCTCCCCTGCCCTCCCCTGCCTTCCCCTCCCCCTCCCCTCCCTTCCCCCTCCTCTGCCCTCCCTCTCCCCTGCCCTCCCCTGCCCTCCCCTGCCTTCCCCTCCCCTGCCTTCCCCTCCTCCTCCCCTCCCTTCCCCCTTCTCTGCCCTCTCCTGCCCTCCCCTGCCCTCCCCTCCCGAGATGGGACCCAGGGCCTCTTCACACTAGGTAGCACTCCACCACTGAGCTGCATGCATCTTCGGTTCCTAGACTTCTTTTCTTTGTCTGTCTGTGATTATTTTTCTTTTTGGTTTTGAGACAAGACATAGCCCAGTCTGGCCTAAAACTTATTGCCCAGACTCACAGTCTTCTGCTTAAGACTCTCAAGTGCTAAGTGCTGGGATTACAGATGTGCTATGGCTGACTGACTGTCTTGTGCCTTTTTATACTGATGTTAAACTTAGCCTACAGTCAAAACTTTAGAGATATTAGTACACTTAGAGATTAATAATCAATACTTGATATATTCACATATTAATGTGGTCCATTCTATATAATAAATGGTAAAAATTGAGCCCAGAGCAGTTGTGTCTTGTGCAGGTCAAACACCTCCAAAATGCTTTGTAGCATTTTGCCAGGTTCTTTCTGTAAACAGTTCCGACAGCCAGGCTGCTGGACATGGGGAAAGTTTGATTCTGAGCACATTCTATTGCCCCTCCTCCCTTTTTCTCCTTAATGTGAACCAGTTAATAAAAACGACCTTGCATGGAGCCCGGCTCATAGCCAGCAGGTAATATATAGACTTGCTTGAAGTGAAACAAACCCTGGAAGGAATTCAAGAGCTCCGTTGGTAGCATGTAGAGTGTTTGAGCCTAACCCTGTGTTTGCTAGATTATTCTCATCTACTTTGGCAGGGACCAGCATGTTTCGTTCACACAGCTAAGGGGTGATGTGGTGGTTAGTAGGTGTCTTTACACTGTTTTTTCTTCCCTCTCTTAGGTCCTTTCCCATAACCTGTGCACGGTGCTAAAGGTTCCACATGACCCTGTTGCCCTTGAAGAACACTTCAGGGATGACGATGAGGGGCCTGTCTCCAACCAGGGCTACATGCCATATTTAAACAAGTTCATTTTGGAAAAGGTATGATGCTAACTTTTTCTCACCTACAGCTTTGCTTGCCTTGTGTGCATCAAGTGAACCAAGGCGGTCCTTATTGGCAAGCGCATTAAGAAGCCGGGTATGAAGCCGGGTATGAAGCCGGGTATGGTGGCACACACCTTTAGTCCCAGCACTTGGGAGGCAGAGGCAGACGAATCTCTGTGAGTTCAAGGTCAGCCTGGTCTACAGAGCGAGTTCCAGGACAACCAGGGCTACACAGAGAAACACTGTCTCGAAAAACAAAAAACAAACAAGCAAAAGAAGCTGGGTGCTGAGGCCACATAAGATAGGAAGGAGTGAGGTTGAGCTCCTCCTCTTCCTCCTCTCTCAGGCTGACATTTCCAGGTTGGTTCCTTCTTTGAAATAAAAGATGTATTTGTGTTTCTCTGTATCTATCTTCTCTCAGGATGTTTTGCTTATCCTGGAAAAGTCGGTTTCGCAGGTGCTGGCAGTGGTTGTTAAAGAATGCGTGTGATGGAGTGAAATCAGAGTACCAGTAATTCAATAATTACTATGTAGATATCACACGGCAAGCTTCAGCCTACACTTTTCAAGGGATTGTTTGACATCTTCCCCTGGGGTTGTATCCTAAGATGAGCACTAGTTCCTTTTACTGTTGCTATAACCAAGTGCCTGACAAGGAGCAACTTAAGGAGGGGATGCTTACTGTGGTTCAGGATTTCATGTGATAGAGTCCATTATGATGTGGAAAGCTTAGCAGGAGGAGGGGCTAAGGGCTGTGGCAGAGGAGTATGAGGCATCTTGCTCACATCATAGCACTCCAGGAAGTAGATTAGAGGGCGGAATGATTGCTAGAGCTCAGCACATTTTCTCTCTTTTTCCCTTTTTACTAAGGACTAAAGCCCATGGGCTCATGCCACCCACATACAGATGGGCCATTTCCCTTCAGTTATGGATGGTGCTACCCACATAAGGATGGGCCATTTCCCTTCAGCTATGGATGGTGCTATCCATGTAAAGATAGACCACCTCACTTCAGTTAGGATGGTGCCATACACATAAGGATGGGCCATTTCTCTTCAGTTAATCCTCTCTGGGAGTTCCTCACAGATAAACCCTAAGGCAGTAGTAATTCTCAACCTGTGGGTCATATCCCTTTAGGGGTAGCATACCAGATACTTAGATCATGATTCATAACAGTAACAAAATTACAAGTATGAAGTAGCAATGAAATGATTTTGTGGTTGGGGTCACCACAACATGACAAACTGTATTTAAGGGTCAAAGCATTAGGAAGGTTGAAAACCATTGCCCCAAGGTATGTTTGAAGGCTCTATACCTTAAGCCTTTCTTTTTCTTTTTGGTTTTTTGAGACGAGGCCTCTCTATGTAGCCCTTGCTGTGTAGACCAGGCTGGCCTCAAACTCACAAAGATCCCCCCTGCCCTGCCTCTGCCTTTTTAGAGTGTTACCATTAAAGGTATGCACCACCATAATCTTAAAAATTATAGGCAGTAGTTGGGTGTGGTGGTAAAAGCCTATGATTCTAGCACTTGGGAGGTAGATACAGGAGGATCAAGAGTTCAAGGTCACCCTCAGCAGTAGCATAAGTTCAAGGCCAACCTGGACTGCATGAGCCCTGTTTCTTCCTTTTCTTTCTTTCTTTCTTTCTTTCTTTCTTTCTTTCTTTTTTTCTTTTTTTTTGGTTTTTCGAGACAGGGTTTCTCTGTATTGTTTTGGAGGCTGTCGGTCCAGCCAGGCCTTGAAATCACAGAGATCCACCTGCCTCTGCCTCCCGAGTGCTGGGAGTAAAGGCGTGCGCCACCACCTCAAGGCCCCTTTCTTTTCTTTTTTAAAATAACTTATTTAACTTTAATTTATGTGCATTGGTGTGAAACTTTCAGATCCTCTGGAACTGGAGTTACAGACAGTTGTGATCTGCCATGTGGGTGCTGGGAATTGAACCCAGGTCCCCTGGAAGAGCAGCCAGTACTCTTAACCACTGAGCCATCTCTTCAGCCCTGGGCCCTAAAATCAAACAAACAGAATATTATAAGACATACTGAGGAATTCTCAGAAGTCTGGGACTCGCTTTGTTTTCCAGCGTCAGAATTTGTGTGGGCTAAGTCAATGGCAGGGACATTGGTCCACTGGCTTCATACTCTGAAATGCTGTGCCCCGATGCTGCGCATTGTTCCCCTTGGTGTGGCATACTTTTAGATTTGAATTTTAAGTTTTAAAACACCCTTAGAGTCTGATCCTTTAAAGTCCTGTAACTGGGGAGAAAAGATAGAAGCACCGAAAAAGTCCAAATTGAACCACTAAATTTGGAGCAAAACTCTGCCATGGGCCAGTGAGGAAGTGACAGAATAGTGAGCCTCTGTTCCTGGCTGCCTGGCCACCTGGAGTGGAAGCTTGCCATCCTGCCACCCAAGGAAAGCAACAGGGTTTCCATGCTTTGGGGTTAAATCAGCAAAGATTACTATCTTATTTTGAAATTTGGTTTGGGGAGAAAAAGTCAATAGTGTGAAGAATGCTAGCAGGAGGTATATGTATTACTATTCCTTATGCAGTGAAAATTCAAACTATTGAGCACACACTTGCTAGACATACGTTCTGGTTCATGCGACTTTGCTGGATCCCAGTGTTAACCCTGTGAGTAGAAGCAGCTTAGCCCATAAGGGGCAATGGATTAAAACAGTTTTTAGAATTACATTTTATGTATTTATTGTCTCCCTGGGTGTGGGAGAGGGTGTGCTTGTGGAGGTTAGAGGTCACCTTGTAGAAGTCAGCTTCTCCTCCCACTGTGCAAGTTCTGGGGATTGAACTCAGGTCTTCAGGCTTGGTGGCAAACACTTTTATCCACTGAGCCAATCTGCTGGCCTGTAAGTAAAGTTTGAACTCAAATCATTTAACTTCTCCCAGCAGTATTCTGCTAGCTGTACTCTTAAAGAGTAAATCCTCTTTTTCAGAATTATTATGACTGTGTTCTGCATAGGGGAAGTGGGGTTTGAAGGCAGGGTTGGAGTTACTTTGAAAACTCTCTGTCTCAGACTATCTCAGCTTCCACCCAGCTGTGCGGAGTGCTCTAAGATGGTGTCTCTTTTTCAGGGGTTGTGTTCATTGGTTGCTTTCTCTAAGTCTTCTGCTTTTGTCTGGGAGCATCACTCTGAAGAGTCTAGAGTACTGAAATACATTCAGCATATTGAAACCTGCTTTCCAAAAAGTAGTTTTCACAAATAGGAAATTTAATTCCTGCTAGCCATTCCTGATGTTTGTCACCCTGATCGAATTTACCTCCAGTTTTCCTGAAACTTCAGGTGACTAACCAGTCTTTTGTTCTTTACCAAATATTTTTCCTGACTGTTGTTAATTTTGTGAAATTCCTTCTTTAGTGAAAGGATTTGAAATCCCAGTTTTGTGGGCTTTCTTCTTCCTCTCTCCATCCTCCCCTCCCTCTTCTTTTTGAAACACGATTTTATACTTGGATTGCTTGATGGTGAAAATTGAAGATGTTGGTCAGTTATTACTTTAAAACAAACAATCTATTCCTGATTAGCTACACAAAGTAGTTCTGCCTCAGCATGCTTTTGAGACTCTCATTCTTCCCTGAGATTTATGGCTGATTAGGCTTTCTGGCCTTTGCTGTTGTATTAAAGGTTCATCTGGGCTATATGATTAAGCCGGGTAACCCATTGGCCACTTGCCAGGTTCACGTTGGAGATGCCCAGGCTTTCCAGCAGAATCCCCCGTGTGTGGTTCTCATTTGTGTTTTGGAAGCATACATAAAGAGGAACACACAACGTATCAGCTCAGCATTTTCCCTGGGGCCTCCCAGCTTCTGTGCTTGCTCTTCTAAGTCTTACATTTCTGCAGTCTTCCTTTTCTATACTTCCTTACTGTGTTTGGTGCTCACATAATAGTTACATTTCTTGTTTAAAAACATATTCTTTTTCTTGTGGTTTTTGTTTTTTTGTTTTGTTTTTGGAGACTGTTTCTATGTGGCTTTGGAGGCTGTTCTGGAACTCTTAGACCAGACTGGTCTCGAACTCACAGAGATCCGTCTGCTTCTGCCTCTGCCTCTCGAGTGCTGGGATGAAAGGCGTGCGCCACCACCACCCGATTAAACCTGTTCTTTTTTTAAAGTATTTTTTTTTGGTAGAGATTCTGAAATAAAAAAAAGATTTATGTGTCTAAGTGTTTGCCTACATGCACACCCATGTGCTACACTCATGCAGTGACGAAGGAGGCCAAAAGAGGTCTTCAGACCCCCTGAATCTGGAGTTAGAGGTGGGGATGGAACTGGGCTCTTCTGAGAGAGCAGCAAGGGCTCTTAACCACGGAGTCTTCTTTTGAGCGCCATAAAGTCTGTTCCTTAGTTTCCTCTATTAATTGGAAGGCTGTACATTTCGACTCTCAAAATTCTTCCCCTATCATTGAGTGTGAATGGTATTGCTCATGAGCTTTTTCATGTGCTTTCTTGTGAATTTGTAAAAAGCGTTTATTTTATATGTATGGGTACTTTGCCTGTATGTATGTTTGTGTGTGTGTCCCTGGTGCCTGCAGGGGCCAAGAAGAGGGTCAGATCTGGACCTGGAGTTACAGGTGATTGTGAACTTCCATGTGGGTGCTGGGAATCAAAGCCAGGTCCTCTGGGAGTGCAGTCAGTGCTCTTAACTGCTAAGCCATTTGTCCAGCCTGAAAGGTAAGTAGTTTTAATTTGCTACAATGACCTAATTGCTTTCCAGATTTCATCTTATGAGTCATAGAGGGTTATCCGCGTTTCTGTCTTTTTGGAGGGAAAGGAGGTGGTTGAAACAGGCTTACGTAGCCCAGTCTAACCTCAGACTTGCTCAGTTGCCAAGGCTGACCTTGAACTCCTGATTGTCCTGTTTGTGCTTCTGTAGAATTGGGATCACAGGCATGTACCACTATGCCTTGTTGAAGGCTGTGGGCTTTTAAGTAAGTGAGGGGTTCATGCTGAGAGCCACCAATAACCTTATGCTCCTGAATGCCGTGACTA